AGTATTGCTTTGGTGGATGTACAAGGATTAGCTGCCCAGCATGCCCACGTGTCTCAGTGGGACCCTGCTTCCTGGTGTGAACGGTGAGGTCACCCTCAGGCTGTCTTACCAGCAGGAGTGAAGGCGTCTGCCAAGGGAATCCTCATCAAAATCATGAGCTGGGGATGGAGAGGGCTTTGTTCTGCCTGGTGCCTAAGCCTGAGGGTTGGGGAGAAAAAGAGTTGTAGATCAAAATTGAATCACATTTCAAATGGCTCCCAGCTATGGTATATTGTGGTTGAGTTGTAACTTACATGTGGTAAAGTACACAATCTTAAATGAATTTTTCAATGAATTTTTACAAAAGAGTGCACTTAGATGAGTGTATAGTGCATTTTCATCATTCACGTTTCCTCTCTCATTCAGTCCTTTCCCACCACACCAAAGGTAGCCACTATTTAACTCTGAGCGTTAAAGATTAGTTTTGTATATGATATGATGGGACCGTGCAGTGCATCGTCTTTTGTGTCTGGCTTCTTTTATGTCTGTGAGATTCATCCACGTTGTGGGACACAGCAGTAGTTTATTCTTTTTCATTGTTCTATGGAATTCTATTGTTTGAATATTACAACTTATATCCATTCTTCTATTGGTGGCCATTTGGATTGTTTCCAGTTGTTGGCTATTATGAATAAAGGTGCTATAACATTCTTGTACATGCCTTTTGGTGCACGTAAGCAATATTTTGTTCTGGGTATATACCCAGGAATGTAGTGTGAGGCATGGGGTAGGCATATGCTTAGTTTTAGGAGATATTGCCAAGCAATTTCCCAAGGTGGTGGCACCTACCTGCTCTCCCATCAGCAGTGTAAGGGCATCCCCTGGCATAGTCAGTCCTTTTAACTTGAGCCATCCTGGTGGGGTTGCTGTGGTAGCTCGAATGTTATATTTGAATTTCTCTGATGATGGGGGATGTTAAACCCATTTTGATATGCTTATTGGCCATTCGGTTAGCCTCTTTTGTACACTGTCTGTTCTTTTGCCCCTTTTTGTTGGGTTGTTTATTTTTTCCTTATTGATTTGCAGGAGAGCCTGAGATTCTTAAAGAAATCCTCATGGAAGCAGCCCCTCCTCATTCACACTCGCTTTGTGCCTGTGTTTGTTCATGTCTCACAGCCCCCGGGACTCCCCCAGAAGTGTTCATTGCTGTGGGGTCTCATATACCCTTAAGCCTGTAGGAATGAGGTAGGGGGTTTTGGTTTCTGGAAGCCCCCTGTAGTTAGGCTCCTGATTTCCAGAAGGAGCCATTTAAAAGAAAAAAGAAGAAACATACACATTTATGTAAATGGAAACTTAGTGTGGAAAGTATCTGGGCCAGCCCCGTGGCGCACTCGGGAGAGTGCAGCGCTGGGAGTGCAGCGACGCTCCCGCCNGCCAGTGAGCGGCTGGTCTGTATGTGGGATCCGAACCCTTGGCGGGAGCGCCACTGCGCTCTGAAGCAGCACACTGTAGCAGTGCGCCACCGGGCCGGCCCAGAACACATTTGATTGGAAGAAATTTTTTGAAAAACTGTGTAGGTCACTGGTAGGACCTCTAAGAAGCCTGCTCTAGTAGCAGCCAACCGTCCTGGGCTTTAAACTGCTTTCCTTAGAGGATGCATATTTATTTCCTGTGGTTGCTGTAACAAATTTCCACAAGCTGGGTGGCTTAAAACAGCATAATTTGTTTCTCTCAAAATTCTGGAGGCCAGCAGCCTAAAATCAAGTTGTCAGCAGGGTCGGTTCCCTCTGGGAGCTCTGAAGGGGAATCTGTTCCATGCCTCTCCTCCAGCTTCTGGTGGCTCAGGCAGTCCTTGGCTTTTGCTAGCGTGACTCCAGTCTCTGTCTCTGCCATCACATGGCCTTCCTTCTTCCTTGTGTGTGTGTCTGTGTCTCTGTTTTCTTATCTTGTGAGGACAGCAGTCATTGGGTTAGGGCCCACCCCAATCCAGTGTGACCTCATCTTCATTTAACTTATTACACCTGCAAATACCTATTTCCAAATAAAGTCATACTCAGAGGCTCTGGGCAGGGCTGAACAAGTTTGGGGCCAGAGCAGAATTGCTGAGGACAAGAAGGGAGAAGCTGAGTATACCAGTAATGGTCTGCCTTTTTAGTTCTTCCACCATGCAATGAAGAGATGAAGACGTTTCTAGAGAGTATTGCTTTGGTGGATGTACAAGGATTAGCTGCCCAGCATGCCCACGTGTCTCAGTGGG